ACTCAGTCAATGTGAAAGAAAATATAGCCAAACAGAAAAAGAGGCCCTTGCTCTAGTATGGGCTATCGAACATTTTAATACATTTCTTCTGGGTAAAGAATTTGATCTAATAACGGATCACAAACCATTGGAATTTTTGTTCAGCCCAAAATCGAAACCGTGCGCCCGTGTCGAAAGGTGGGTTTTGCGACTTCAGGCATATCGTTATAATGTAAAATATAAGACCAATATTGCGGACCCACTCTCGCGGCTATGTAAATACTCTGAACAATCAATTCAGTCGGCAGAAGAGAATTACGTTCATCAAATAGTTGAACTCGCGAGACCTTGTGCAATCTCCATGCAAAGTATAATAAAGGAATCAGAAAGTGATCAGGAAATCACCGGAGGGGGAAATCATCAATGGGAGGAATCTGTAAAATCATTCAAAATATTTTCGGATGAATTGTGTTTTTACGAGAATATTCTTTTGCGAGGAAACAGGATAGTTATTCCACAGAATCTTAGGAAGCAAGTTTTCCAAGCAGCTCATGAAGGCCATCCAGGGATCGTTGCCATGAAGAGTCGCCTTCGTTCTAAAGTCTGGTGGCCTAGAATGGATAAAGACGTCGAGTTGATGGTAAAGAGCTGCAAAGGATGCGTTCTAGTCAGCTTACCAAATCCTCCAGCACCAATGAAACGTCGAGAACTTCCATCTGAACCGTGGATTGATATTGCGATGGACTTATTGGGCCCATTACCAAATCATGACTATATCTTAGTAATTATTGACTATTACAGTCGCTATAAGGAGATCAAGATTACCAGGACCGTAACGAGCTCAAAAATTATTCAGATCCTAAAAGAACTTTTTAGCCGACTAGGCTATCCACTATCAATCACTGTTGATAACGGGCGACAATTTGTTAGTGAGGAATTTAAAGGTTTTTGTCGTGAATGTAATATTAAGCTTTTTAATACTGTACCATATTGGCCACAGATGAATGGAGAAGTGGAGCGGCAAAATAAAGACATATTAAAAAGACTTAAAATAAGTTCTAGTGAAAAACGAGACATCTGAGACACACTATATGAATACCTTATGATGTACAACTCCACTCCACATTCAGTTACGGGAAAGACGCCTTCAGAACTTTTTTTCAAAAGAATGAACAGGGATAAAATTCCCATGTTAAAAAATATAAGTGATTCGGGAAATGACATGGAAGTTAGAGACCGAGACAAGTTACAAAAAGAAAAGGGTAAGGAGTATGGAGACCGGAAAAGAAAAGCGGAAAGCCCAGATCTAACAGAAGGTGAGAAGGTGTACGTAAAAGAAATGGAAAAGACTAATAAGCTCTCAACTAATTTTAACCCGACACCACACATAGTGGAAAAATCATTAGGAGGGGATGTAACTATAAGAAACGAAGAAACTGGACAACGACTACGAAGGAATGTGATTCATCTCAAGCGCGTGGAAGGACAATGGAAAACAGTAGAAGATGAGACTAATGAAAATGGAGATCAGACAATCGAAGAAAATTAATACTACATAATATCAGATCAAAGTTCATTGTTTAGAAATGAATCAAAAAATTAAGCATGATTATTTAATAACGATCATTATAGTTAAAACTAAAATTTGTTAAAAAGGAAGGGATGTATTAATAGATATAATACATTGTCTCATGTACACCAGTAGAGGGGGTAGCGACAGTCTGTCAGTCTAGCATTAGACGCGGTACGGTAAAGACGTGCGCCTACGCTCGGAGCTGTGTGTAGTAGTGAGCCAGTGAACCACAGATACTCATAGTTAGTTCCTTTTGTTAACTTGCGATCACTACACTTAGCGAGTCACTTTCGACTCGCGTATGTCATTTACTACGCACATTAATAACGTTCGTAATAGAGCCGCGTTCGTCTCCGGCCGGCTACACAATTTAACTAACGCTAAAAGTAAAATGCCCTTAAGGCACAAATTATTATTATATAAGACCTGCGTACGACCTATTATGTCCTACGCATGCATGATCTTCGCCCACACACACCCTACTCGCTTGTACAAGCTGCAAATAATACAAAATAAGTTCATCCGCCGTGCAACCGGTGTGCAGTGGTATCAACTGAACGTTGATCTGCACAGCGATTGCAGACTCCCGACGATTCGCGAATATTTTAAAGACCTGACCAAACGGTTCTTCGATAGAGCCGAACATCATCCCAACCCTCTGGTGGTAAGCGCCGCATATTACCAACCCGACACAAACGCGAACGTCAACAAGCGTCGCCCGCGAAACGTCCTCATCGACCCGGTCGAGGAAGGGGACTTAGATACGCCGGACCCACCGCCGGGGGTCCCGCCGGACAACACTACACCCACAGTTAGTGCAACAACAAACACACTAGTTTGCCCTCGCCTCCGAGCACGGCGAGACCAACACAACGCGTACACAAGGTACACCCGCGTTCCAGGGTGGTTCTCACCGCCCCCAGCCACTGATTAGCTAAAAACACAGTCGACGGCCATCGGGGTCTCGGTCCGCACCGCAACTTCGATGGCCCTTAGATGACATGTCGTAGTTAAACGCACGCATGAGCACATGCGCGGCCCTACCCACAGCGGAGGGCCCAAACCCGTGGGTTCTGGCTAGCCCACCGGTTCTGCGTCAGATGAAGCTTTAATAGTCTCGGGACTGAAAGCAAAAACATCAGTTAGTACAAGATACAAGATACGATTGTTGCCTTGGTCGCTCGCTAGTAGTATAAATGAACGAGTTAAGCAACGCCTACATCACGAATGAGCAAGCCATCTCAAATGTAAAATGGCGCGAAAATACACATTTTTGTATGTAATGTTTTGTCGGCTGTGTAGGTTTTGAAGGACTCGGCTCACCACCTACAAATTTGTAAAATATGAAATAATATTTCTTAATTTTAAAAATTTCCTCTTCCTCTCCTTTTTTCATCAACCCAAATAAACAATACCTGTCTAATTTTTATTCCATTTGTCTCAACAACATAATTTTTACTTTAAGAACAACGTTTGTCTATATAATCGCCAACGGTAAAAGATAACTAACTACGATAGTACTGTGATCCGATGTCAATATCGTTGTTGAAAACAACGATGTTGATTTATATACAGCGTGTCGTTACCAACGCGACAATAAACGAACACACATATTATAGAGCATCATCATCATCATTTCAGCCTGTTTGAGTCCACTGCTGAACATAGGCCTCCCCCATAGACTGCCACGCAGTACGATCCTGAGCCACCTGCATCCATCGACTTCCCGCACATTTGCACAGGTCGTCACTCCATCTAGTGGGGGGTCGTCCTACACTGCGATGGCCAGTACGAGGCTGCCACTCGAGAACCTTTCTTCCCCAACGGTTATCGGTTCTACAAGCTATATGGCCAGCCCATCGCCACTTCAGCTTGCTAATCCTCTGAGCTATGTCGGTTATCTTAGTTCTACTGCGGATGTCTTCGTTACGAACTCTATCACGCAGAGAAATACCGAGCATAGCCCGCTCCATAGCCCGCTGAGCGACTTTGAGCTTCCTTATACGGCCAGCAGTGAAGGACCACGTCTCGGTTCCGTAGGTCATCACTGGCAACACACACTGATTGAAGACTTTAGTCTTCAAACATTGAGGTATATTCGACGAGAAGATTTGCCGTAGTTTCCCGAACGCTGCCCATCCGAGTTGGATTCGCCGATTGACCTCGGCGTCGAAGTTGGACTTACCTAGCCGGACTAACTGTCCTAGGTAAACGTACTCGTCAACAACTTCGAGCTTCTGGACTGGAAAGGACGAGGTATTAACATCAATGGCGAATACATCACCCACCTTCGATTTGCCGACGATATAGTCATCATGGCAGAATCGCTGGAGGACCTGGGTGCTATGCTCAATGACCTTTCAGTCTCCCAACGGGTGGGCCTTAAGATGTACATGGACAAGACGAAGATCATGTCTAATGTCCATGTCACGCCTATACCGGTTGTTGTTGGGAGCACTGAGCTCGAAGTTGTTATAGAGGATAACTTTTTAAAATTGTATCAAAAATTTACATTCTTTAAACATCAATATTTACAGAGTTATTAAATTTTCCAAAACAAAGAATTTAAGACCATCCTTACGTATAAAACTGTAACGTAAAGTTCATTTGTCAAAGGTCACAAAGCATATGCATGAGCATATGACGCTGTGGCAACGAATGAAAAAGTCTCTGAATGTATGAATCAGTCAGTTGTAGTTGTATAGGTGTTACAAATTTTGTTTCTTTTTTACTTAATTAGTTTGTTTGAAAAATATTTTTTTTTTAATTATGGATTTCTTTTAACGTTAATATTTTTTATGATTATTGGCAAGTAGCGTTAGATGTGTGTTAATTTATTGTCGCGATGGTAACGACTCGCTGTATATACATACATATATATGCATATATATTAAGGTAACTTGCTAGGGCTTGTGAGAGCATCAGTGGGAATTTATTGCTTTAATCGCTTCTTCACATTTTTGCTACAGTATTGAATTTTCTTGGCCGTAATGTTAGTTGTGTACGTAGCACATTTTTTTTTTCACTTTGATTTTGATAAGGGTATATTGAATTTATATTTTAAATCACGGATAGCGCTTAGGCAAAGTTTCAAAAGAAGGAACAGGATATTTTAACTGAGGACTGTTGGAAAGAAACATGATTTAGAATAGTCATCTCTATTATAAATTTTGATTCGTTCTTAAACTACACAGCCCATCTTTTTTATATCTCGTGTGATTTTATAAACTTCAATTAAGGGCCTGCCTCCCCCAACTCAGCTTAGATCCGGACTTATCCAAACATGTTTCTCTTTTCTTTTAGGTGAACCAACGGATACTTTTTAAATAATATCCAAATAAAGCTTTATTGGTACATATACACATAAACACTATAAAGATTATTATAAGGAAAAAGATTGTTCTTATATCAAAATCTAAAATATTTTTGTAGTGTTTATATTATAAAAATGAGTCCCAAGCTTGCAATAGTCACCGGTGCTAATAAAGGCATAGGCTTTGCTATCGTTCGCGGTCTCTGCAAGCGTTTCGACGGAGTCGTTTACTTGACATCGCGCGATGAAGAACGCGGCAAAACGGCGGTGTTGGAACTCAACAAAGAAGGCCTTAACCCGAAATACCACCAATTGGACATAACAGACACTAAAAGCCTGGAAGTATTCCATGATTACATCAAAGAGAAATATGGTGGAATCGATGTTCTGGTGAACAATGCTGCTATTGCATTCAAGACAAGTTCGCCTGAACCCGTGGCAGTTCAAGCGGTGGAAACTTTAAGAGTTAATTACTTCGCCGTCCTGGCAACTTGCGAAATTCTGTTCCCGCTACTCAGGAACGGTGCTAGGGTCGTCAATATCTCTAGTTCCAGCGGCCATTTGAGCCAAATACCTAGCGAGAGTTTAAGAAACCGATTCAAGGATCCCGAGCTGACGATTCCCGAGCTATCTGATCTCATGAACAAGTTCATTGAGGAAGCCAAACAGGGGACACAGAGTGCCGAGTGGGGTAATTCCTCATATAGTGTATCCAAAGTTGGATTGACGGCACTAACCATGATTCAGCAACGATTCTTGAGTGATAGGGGTAAGAACGAAACAACTTTTAACGTATGTACTTATTTTAGCTTTTATATGTCGCAATCGCTGTATGCTTCTAATTTCAAAATTCCGAAGCCGTCGAGTGCGAGGATATATAGGATATATAGGACAGCAAAATGATTGAGTTGTTTTAGGTGCCTACTTGACCCATCATCATACACTGATTCCTATGCTAGCTCATGCACTCTCGCTAAAACCTAGGCTCCCTTTCCCATAAATGTGCTCGAGGCAAATATATTGGTCCAAACCAAATTTGCGTCACCGTTAATCTCTACGGCATGCCTCTCCGTTGAATTCTAAGCATCTTGATAATATGTAGCAGCACCGGCCGAAATACAACAGCACTAGTCTATAGAAGACCGGAGATGTACCTGTATGGAGTCAGAAGCTGTCCAGATGTGATGTACCGCCTTATTCCATTAAGGATTCCTTGCAGCCGCTTCGGCGTTCGACTCAAGGAACTGCTCAAGGTTGAGGTTTAAAGAAATTTCCACTTTTAGAAACTTATTGGTAGGCATTTCGTAATAAATTAAAGTTCTTTCTTCTGCGTTTCGTCCGGTGTGTGAGGTAGCCGGGGCCCTATATTAAAAGGTGGATTTGCATCCCCGCACGGATATTCAAATGTTCATGGGCGGCGGTTATCACTTAACATCAGGGGAACCACCAGTTCGATAGCCATCTCCTCCCATAAAAAAAACTCGTAATTTCAGAAATCAAAGTGAACGCGGTTCATCCAGGATATGTCGATACGGACATGTCGTCCCACAAGGGCCCGTTGTCCATAGACGAGGGTGCAGCGGCACCGCTTTTCCTCGCGTTGGACGCCCCTGATTCGGTCCGAGGCCAGTATGTATGGTACGACAAACGGATCGTCAGCTGGGTTGGACAAAAGCCTAAGGAACAGTGAAAGAGAACAAAAAAATATGTGCACATTATAAATTTCTTGAAATGTTTTCAAGATACAGAAAGGCATTTATTTATTAAAAAGAAACAAGAGCATTTAAAACATCTTTAATTTAACCCTGATCTATAAATAAAATCACTGAATGTTTTTGTTTAGCTGTTGGACAAAACATGTTTTTTAACGTTTACTAAACGGAGCAAAAGAATTTATTCTCTGTTGTAAACGAGCGTACTTTGCCACGAATACGGTAATTTGTATTTTTGTACATCTCTCTCTGAGCTACCGAGTTAAAAGATGTGTAATCGTTTAGTGATATGTATAAAAGAGGAAAAAGAATGATATATATAAAGATATAATTTGAAATGAAGGGATCTACGGATATGTTAGCTCTTCGCTAGATATATAAATATTTTCTATCGCTATTCGTGAGCTACACAACTCTTTATATTCACTTACCTTTTAACTGTAGTTGATAAAAATACAATTGCTGCTCATTCTTCAACTGCCGCTATATCTGACCTATTCTAACCTTTTTCTTTAACCCACCATTTTCTTACGCTTTAAGTCGAACCTTATTATTTAGAAACCTTAATGAAGAAAAAGAACTTAATAAATAGATTGGCACTTGCATTTTTATGAGCATGTAAAGTTTTAATTGAGTACCATTTCAATTATTTTATATGAAATACTAAATAATAGTCAGAACAAAAGAAAATCGAATTGAGGAGTAATGATGACTTTACTACCTATGACATTCGTATCTGGAATTTTAATCTATGACCGGAGGTGCATTGGTCTTTCACGTCCCCGTATTAAATTTATTTGTTGCCTCCTCTTTCTTTGTTTTTATAACCTACACAATATAAAATATTACACAATATGAATTATTAACCGTCGACCCAAGATACACATATAATTTTTAATAAATTTCTCATTTATTAAAATTCTTTTCTTAAGGTGCACACCATAGATAAGACATATATACTGGTGCACACCGCTGAAGCAATTTGCCGGAGATTCAGATTTTTTTTCAGTATATGTATTATCTATGCGGAGATTCTAATTTTCTAATTTTTTTAATAATTATGGTATGGTTGACTTTGCCAAAAGCTTTTGAGAAGTCGGTATAAATATATACAGCGTGTCTTTACAATCGCGACAGTAAATGAACATAGGTACATTTAGAGGATAACTTTTTAAAATTGTATTCAACATTTACATTCTCTAAACATCAATATTTACAGAGTTATTAAATTTTCCAAAACAAAGAATTTTAGAACAACCTTACGTATAAAACTGTAACGTAAAGTTCATTTGTAAAGGTCACAAAGCATATAAATGGGTTGAGTGAATTTAAAAGCGACAAAACATACTGTTAGAAGGAGAGATTTCTAATGCGACGCTGTGAATCAGTCAATGGTAGTTATATAGGTGTTACAAATTTTGTTTCTTTTTTACTTAATTAGTTTGTTTGAAAAATATTTTTTTTAATTATGGATTATGTTTAACGTTAATATTTTTTTATGATTATTGGCAAGTAGCGTTAGACATGTTTTCATTAATTGTCGCGATGGTAACGACACGCTGTATACTTGGGTATTATGAGCGACCGCCTCTTTAAGTTCCATCTTTTAGCCATAAAACCATTTTGATCGACAGTAATATATTTCTGTAGATGTCTATACAAGACAGTGTACACGGAGGACTCCAATAGCTTAGACAATACTGATAAAATCGATATAAGTCGATAATTCTAATAATATAAATATTATAGCACTCCTTAATAAGTTTATTACAATCATCTCTAAAGTAAAATAACCTTATCCTTTTGAAGTCGATTAAAAACTCTTATCTAGCGGATTTTTTATGATAAATATGCTTTTGGTTTAGTAAATATAGTAAATGGGACGAAAACTAGGGTTATGAATTATTTTTTATTCTAGTGATTGGAATATGTAATCGGTATGCATTCTGTATAACATCGTAGAATTTTGTATTCGTCTCATTAATATCGGTATATAACATTATATAATACTAGCTGACCCGGCAAACGTTGTTTTGCCATATAAATTATTTGTAGGGTAGAAAAAAATATGTGGCGTTAAGGGTGGTCCTTAACATTTAGGGGGATGAAAAGTAGATGTCCGATATAAACACAAAATTTCACGAAAATCGTTCGAGCCGTTTCGGAGGAGTTCAATTACAAACACCGTGACACACGAGAATTTTATAAGTATATTAATTGACAAGTAGCAACATAACATTGAACCAGGTCGTCGACATGATTATTAATAATTATAGGTACTTGCAGAATTTACTCGTTATTAACATTAAATAATTAGATTAAATTGTTTTTTTTAAATGTGCTTGATTTGGCCAATCCGCTAAATCTATCCAAAGTTTCATTGGCTTTCATAAATTCTCTATGTTCCTCAGATTTGGGAAAAGCAATATTTCTGTTTTTCAATTAAAAAATTTCATGTCATTAAACTTTAGTAGTTATCTTGTCGAACATAAAAGATATAACATACATTTATTCTTAATTGGTGCGCTGTGAAACGAAAGCACGAACCGAAATTACCATAGAAAAGTCTGTGTATAAAATTCAAATAAATAAATAAATAAATAAATGTTATAGGGGGAAAACGTGTGAATTAAACAGAAACACATTTCAGTTGCTCCTCCTTAAACATTTATTATTACTAAACTGTTACATAATTATAACTTAACACGAGGGGGGAAATAATTAGATGGGGACACTTCGACATTCCGCCGATTTCGTGATACGGAATCGAGATCCCGCGACGGACTAAGCGACGTTAGTGACATTTGGTATGTGCCGTTCCGCTAGGCTCGAATAAATTCTCACACAACCGGCCTAGCCATGCTCATCCGTGCCGTATCATAACCGTTATTATATTAATAATTTTAGGATATTTTCACCCAGGGGCGTGCTTTTAGCACAAAAATAAACGTGCTGAAAATTCTCCACTAATAGACAGGACGCGTTCAAAGACAGTTTAAGGAGTCCCAAGAAATAAGGATATGTTCATTCTAATTCATTATTACAGCGAGGAATATGCGACCCCTGTATTGTCTATGACATCAGGCCATTATTGGCCCTAAAAATGACGACAGAAAAAAGAAACAAATGCTCTGTAATAAGAATGCAATAAAGATTATCGTCAGGAATATATTAGTTCATTTGCGAAGTCATTAATACGGCTCCACTTTACCGAATTTAAGGCTAATTGAGGTCTCTGAGTGGGGCGCCATTGATGGATGATTGATTGGACTTAAAAAAAACGGTTATGATACAAAACAGATAAACATCGAACCAGGCCGGTTCCTACATAAAATAATACTTACTAAATACTTCTCTCGCACCAGCAGTTACTATAAAAATATTGACTATCATATTTTGGAAGAGTCTGTTCACCTTAGAGGGATTTTTGCGCGGCAACGTCTGTACAAACATTGATACATTTAAATGACTTTGTAACTCAAAACGGGGTAAGCATTCAAAGGTAATAAAAGAAAGCTACTGGAAAAATTGGAAACGGTGAAAATAATCATAGGATTGAAGAAAAACGGAAGGAGACAAAAAGACTTTTGCAAAGTACAGAGTACGCTGATTTTGTTGCCAGATACCCAAGCGTGTGTTTTGAAAATAAGAAAAGTAAGTTAAATAATCCGCATCGAAAAACGATGTTTCAAAGCTTCATATCAGTATTATTTTTTGCAAACATATCTAGGGAAAATATCTAAATTCTATCGATATACACGATGAATAGACGGTAAATATCGATAGAATTGCACATCACTACGTTGCCACACAAAAATACCCCGTTAATGGCAAACGGCTAATTAATATCTTAGAGCAATATTATAATCAAATTTTTAAACAATCTTCATTGCAATGTCCCTTTAAAAGATTTCTTTTAGAAAATAAGCCGAGCGGGAATCTCAACTTACATCAATAGATTCTCCGTTTTGCACTTAAAATTTAATTCGAATAGAATATACCACGTTGTTCTTTTTCTTACAATATATTTTTTTTAAAACCATAATAAATACTGACCGATTCGCGAATTGTTGTTATAAGTTTGTGTTAACCGAAAAAATCTTTTTATATTTCTTTTAGACAAATATAAGCAGATCTATTGATGTGTTTTTCGGGTTTCGAATCTTTATTAATAACATATTACGGGGGAAAAATTAAATATTCTCTGGATAGTCTGTATCAGTTTGCAATAATAAATAGATCAGTTCAATTTTCTTCATTTGAATCGTGTACAAATATATAAACGGTTTAAAAAGTTGCGAATTCCTAAGTAAATTGCGTATATTGCAGAACAGTATAAATATTATCGTGATAATAACGTTCATTATACACCTTATCTTTAAATGTTTAAGGTACAAAATTGTTTAACGGCTATGGTAAAAAAAAATAATCGACCCTTCGATGTATCAACGTTTCAATTCCTTTGTATGGAAGTAAGGCCCGACACTGGCTACGCTTAATAATATATATAAAAAACTTTGATCCTTCGAGCCCGATACTGGTATGTTGCCATATACAAATTCATAAATTAATGTTAAAGACAAACCTTGTTAAAGACACGCAGTGAAATTAAAATTAGACGATAATAATCAGTTAATAATCTCAGGAGAATTTCTTCAAGATCAATATACTTTTACAAAGAGCTTTTTTTGGACATTTTACAAAATTAAAAAAAAATTAAATTAAAACAAAAAAAAAAACGTTACGCGTTAGGCAATCAGTATAAAGTTAGTATAACGTCTATGGTCAGTACAGGAAGTGAAATGTTATGCGAGTTTAGACCTCATGTGCCAGGAAATTAGGTCCATGACCGCTTTGGCGATACGGCCACCTTCGACACGCGTCGAACACAAACGGACCCATCGCGTGAAGCGATTTGCAATGTCAATTATACAAAGGTAAGCAATAAAACAGCGTTACAGCTATCAAATATAACATAGCCCGGATAATCGGTGGGCGATAAAGAAAAATAATCATCAGTTCCAACAAATGCAGATTGTATATTTAACACGCACACGGTTAAATCCCACCCCCGGTCGTTTTCTCGCATCTGGCCCGACTAATTTAAAAATAGAATATATTTACCGCGCTGTAAAACACGAGCACTTCGACCGAGACGTCAGTTGCACAGACTCAAAACGTCACACACGTAACGCAGATTAAAAACGGAACTTCAAAATGTGTCACGTCACGTATGTGGCACAGATTTTAACAACAGCCAAGCGTCAATTACGTACGACAGATTAGAAACAGCCGAACGTCGCGTACGTAGTACATATCAAAAACCGAAACTACACTACGTGCGACGTCACGAACACAGCACAGATTAATAATGGCCTGACGTCTCGTACGCAGCATAGAGTAGAAACGATCAGACGTTACGTACGCAGCACAGATTAGAACCGGTCAGACGTCGCGTACGCGGCACAGATTAGAAACGGCTAGTCGTCAGCGACGCAGCACAGATTAGAAACGAGCAGACGTCGTACGCGGCACAGATTAGAACCGGCCAGACGTCGCGACGTACGTGTGGCGACCGGGGAACGGGCCTGTGCGTCGGAATAATGTTGCGTTGGCGCGCGTCGCTTTAGCTGGCGGTGTTGTCGTCAAGGAACTCGACGTACGTGAACGGGAAGTGGCCCACTTTCCCGTTCAGCTCGCCCTCCCACTGGCCGTTGATGTTCATTTTGGTCACCTGCGAACGAGTTGGGGTGGCTGTTAGAAAGATCCCGAGCGAAATCAAATATGCAGAGATGCGTCTCTTGTTGAAGTCAAGTTTGCTTTTTAAAACATGTAGAAAAAGTACGAAAAGATTGTCGTCGCTGTGGGAATCGCGTGGGCATTCGCGGCCTGACGCGGCAGCCGCGAATGCCGAAGACGTGGGTTCGATTCCCACAGCGGCGACAATCTTTTCGTACTTTTTCTACATGTTTTAATGTGCAATCTTAAGTGCAGAGATTACCACTATAAAAAACTTTAAAATCAAGTTTGCTTTCCACTCGGAGGCGTTAGTTAGTTACTAGCTCAAATAATTTCTTTTTGATATATATTTACGAGTCATTAATATTGAACTTCGTAGCTAAAGTATGTATTCAATACATATGAATACATTGATAATGCGTACATTTTATGATTATTGTTTAAGAGTTCTGCTGTAAGTAAGTTTTGATTCTCTTTAAAATTAAATTGCACGGGACACGGTTTTGAGTACTATACATGAGCGTATATATGTGAGCTTAGACTCCAAAGAGAGGACGGGGACAGGCGGTAAGCTTGTCATCTTGTCAGCTTACCGCCTGTCACGCGAAAGCATGGAAGCTCACATAAAAGCTTTTATTGGGTTCCCGTCGTCACACGACAGTGATAATAAATATGTTCACCTTAACAATGTCGCCTTCTTCCAGTTTCAGCGCGGTCTTGTCATACGCGTTCGGCACGCGGGTTTGTCTGACTCGCGCCAATGCGGGTAGCGTGCGCTGGAAAATATTACACGCATGTCAGATATTAATACAGTGATACAAGTGTGTATCATACATAAAGGTGGTAGGTTTTTTTGTTGACGTTCAATAAGAGCTATAAGTTATGCTTATTATATTGAATAAAGATACTTTGACTTAAAGAAATATGATTAGAAAGTGTTATCACGTTGGGACTAACTTCTAACACCGTTAATGATGATATAAATGATAATAGAATTTATTAGAATGATAATAGTCTATATATTGATAAGTACAATAATACACTATGATATTTTAATGCTTACTACATATTATGAAACTAGAAGGCTAGCACTGAAAATCAGCGCTGTGTTGGGGGCCTTGACTTCCGGCATAGCATAATGCTGAGCTGTTAACCTAATTTACCGGAATAGGGCGTACAATATTTATGGTTTATTAAAGTTCTTTTTCATTTGTTTTATATTTTAATTATGTATTTGTGATCTTTCGCTTTACTGAATTATTTATAAGTATTTTTTTTTTTTCTCTTATTTTTTGTTAATTTCAGTTTTTATTTCTCTTTTATTGAGTGCGTCCTTTTTTTGGTAAATAAATGTATTTCCTTTCTTTATTTCTATATTGGTAGACTGTAGGTAAAATTGCAAAGGAACCTGTTTGTTTAAATATACCGAACAAATATTATTTTAAGATACATTTTTACTCAATTACTTTACTTTTTATATTTAGATACCTTTTAATCTATTTGATTTTCGTTTTAAGCTTTATAGATTAATATGGCTTAGCGATATCTAAGCATGTACATATATTTTTGGCAGACAGTCTGTATAAGTTGCCCTTATTTAGTTTATTGTATGGATCATTGTACTGTCTCAAACTAAGTAATACCTTTATGGGTACTAGATAACTGATAAATATACTTTAACATATTTTAATTTCGTAAATAAGTCAATAAGCTTTCGTCAATAGTCGGAGACTATTAAGGCTTCATCGAAGGAATGAAAGCGTTAATATCAATTAAATTCTAGTTACTGCATCTCGACTTTCACCGAGTCCCGTCCTTTTCACGGTCTCATGCTGCCACACAGACCTTCGCTTATTATCATTATTTTGTTTGTTTTTATTGTTATGTTTACATTTAGTTAAAGTTATTTCAATATTATTTCATATTTTTTTTATGCGAAAAGTTGCCAAACGAGCATACGGTTCACCTGATGTTAAGTGAATACCGCCGCCCATGGACATCTGCCCCACCCGAGGGTTTGCAAATGCGTTGACAACCTTATTGGAAATTGGGCTCCGGCTACCTCACTTATTTATCATACATCCACTTTACGCCGGGCTTATGTATATATATAGCATATATATATATACAGCGTGTCGTTACCATCGCGACAATAAATGAACACACCTCTCACGCTACTTGTCAGTAATCATAAAAAAATATTAACGTTAAACAAAATCCATAATTAAAAAAATATATTTTTCAAACAAACTAATTAAGTAAAAAAGAAACAAAATTTGTAACACCCTATACAACTCGCGCCACAGCGTCGCATTACAAGCCTCTCCTTCTAACAGTATGTTTTGTCTCTTTTAAATTCATTCAACCCATTCATATGCTTTGTGACCTTTACTAATGAACTTTACGTTATAGTTTCGGGTGTTCTAAAATTGTTTGTTTTGGAAAATTTAATAACTCGGTAAATATTGATGTTTAAAGAATGTAAACGTTAAATACAATTTTAAAAAGTTATCCTCTAAATGTGTGTTCATTTATTGTCGCGGTGGTAACGACATGCTGTATATGTATTTTATATACTGTGTAAAATTATTTTTTAAGTTTTATATGTATCCATTGTTAGACCGTGATCCGTGAATAAATGTTTCTTCTTCTCCTTCTCAGTTAATACAATACCTTCTGTGCAAATGGTTACAAACACATTATGATCCCACCTGCATGTTGGTGCGTTGCTGCGGATGCCTGTTGCCTGGCGGGCTGGGGGGGTCCCCCAACTGGCTGAGCGCTTCCGAGGGCGGGTACGGGACCCCCGACGGGTCCAGGATCTGGAATCGAAGCGGCGGGCAAATTAATGGCAGCTTTTACATTGGCAGTCTCTGCCTTTTTAGGGTTCTTTCCCCAAAGGGTAAAGCGGAACCCTATTCCTAAGACTCCGCTGTTTGTCTGTCTGTCTGTCCGTTTCTCACGTGTATCTCATGTACCGTGAGGGATAGGCACTTGAGATTTTCACAGATGGTGTATTTTAATGTATTTGAAAAAAGCACAACAAAAATATTGTAGTGGGGCTTCCATATAACAGGTTTTTTTTTTTTTTTTTTTTTTTTTGCTGTTTTTATAGATAATGGTACGGAACCCTTCGAGCGTGAATCCGACTCGTACTTGGGCGGTTTTTTTTTTCATGGAAAGAGGCAAGCGAGCTGGCGGTTCACCTGATTTTAAGCGATAACCGTCGCCCATTGACATTTGTAACACCCGCTGGGTTGGTGATGCGTTGCCACCTTTTAATAAAGTGGGCCCCGGCTACCTCACTCACCAGACGAAACGCAGAAGTATAACACGTCCAAATAACGGACGAAATGTTTTCAGCCGCCGCGGGAATCGAACCCACATCTTTCGGATTGGCGAAATTGTTCGTCCGCCAAGGAGATCGCAAGACATGCGAGCGAAAAGACAATGTAGATGAATTACGTCGTGAGTTTCGCCAGCGTCGCAATGGCAATCAGCCCTTGAGCTTATTAGTTAAGACGGTCGGGGTGTGAATACCGAGGAAGTGGGTTCGATCCAACGCAGCGGCGAAAAGCTTATTGTCAGTTAAAAAGGATTAAATTATATTGGGGGATGGGGGGGGGGGGGGGGGGGGGGAGTCTGTTTATGATGGCGATATGCCAATGGGTTATAAATTATGTCGCCAAGAATGCTTCAGTGTTTTGAATTTCTTGTCACATCCATTGAGCACACTTATGGTAGGTCTCAGAAGTCGATTCAATAATAAGAAAATAACTTCCTTATATTTTGTGAATGAAATTGGGGCATTTCTTCAGGAGACGCCCTTTTGGAATTGGTGTGTGAATTGATTTTGTAAGCCGGTGGTAAACCTCTGGTATTCAAAGTGGAGTACTGTATATCCTTAATCACACTTATATGTTACCAGCACCGCTAATAGAACCAATAAAAATCTTGACGCTACATCGTTGGAAAATCATTTTATTATCTCTATTGGTCGTTTATCTACATAGTATTTATATCTGTCATTACATTACATATAACAGAAACGTAGGTAGAAATACCATGGCTGGAGATAAGGAGCACAATATCTGTGTAGTATAAAAATAGTCCGAGGAAGGCGGTTAAGTTGGGGTAGCTTGTGGGTATTGGGCAGTTGTGTTGAACTGCCAGGGTTACTACGACTAGTTACTGAAACCCAACTTAAAGAGGTAACTAAACATATATAATAATGTTCCCGAGGAGGGTTGAAATCAGACCAGTAGTAAAAAACAAAGACAAAATCACTCGCAACATGATGTCACGTGGTGTGACGTCCCCCACATAAGTGTGGGTGTTGCAGGTGTTTATGGGCGGCGGTAATCACTTACCATCAGGTGAGCCTCCTGCTCTAAAAAACTAAGTAAGGGCAGGATGATAATGATAATGATGATGATGGTGAATAATCATAAACTCCAGCAGGTCGTAAAGAACCACGCAGTTACAACATGATGTCACGTGTTGTAATGTCCCCACCTAAGTGAGATAAAGGCAGGATGATGAAGGTAAATAAACATACCCTCTTGCTACTCTAGCGCCATCTACAAGGGATTTGGAACTGTTAATTACCGCTTACAAGGGGACTTTTTTGTAGCTGTTCCCCTGTATGAGAGCTCCTTACCTTAACCCCACTTACGAGTCGCAAGGCAAAGTATACCAATCACTTAATTACTTCCCCGGCCATTTGTGCAATGGCGGATGCCGTCGAGCGGATCTAATGTCGATCTTCTGAAGACCGCTTTACTTCCCCGCCTACTTGTGCGACCGCGGAAGCTGTGAAGTGGTTCCACCGTTCTTACAAATGCACCTCGCTCACCCTCTGCACGTAGGGAACGGGGATAGAACCGGTACGGCCCTGGCTGTTGCGCGCCGTCCACCACTGCTCCTCATCCCTGTTTATTACCATTAGCCTCTCGCCCCGCCTGAACGGCAAATCGTCGGCGTCCTGTAAAAACGGTTACCCAGGGTCAGCACCTTTCACCCGTATTGTTACTTATTATACAAATACGCCCTCTATCAAAGGTTTTAACGTGGGTCCCTTATCGCCAAGTCGCTAGGGTTTCTGCAATCAAGGGGTACGACAAAGATGACGCTTGTGGTGCAACTTGAATCCACGTCACTACAAAGTATAAAACAAAGTTGTCCCGCTGTCTGTCTGTCCCTATGTATGCTTAGATCTTTAAAACTACGCAACGGATCTTGATGCGGTTTTTTTTACTAGATAGAGTGATTCAAGTGGAAGGCTTAAATGTATAACACAGTGCACCCGTGCGTAGCCGAGGCGGGTCGCTAGTTAATTCATAATTCACAACTAGACTCTCTCGATACTCGAACAACCCAAGTTCAAATCTAGGTACCAAACCAGCACCGATGAAATTGTTCCTTGTACGCATTGAACTATCAAGTGCACAGTTGAAGGAAAACATCGGGTATCGAGGTATCTACATGTTTTCGAAATTATAACAAAATACACTTTCGAATATATACGAAGTCTGCCAATCTGCAGCGGGGTCGCGTCGTCAACTATGCCCTAATAACCTCTGTACAGAAGAGGCCGATGCCCAGCAGTGGGACACATATAGGCTGTTACTTTACGCACGAGCGTCGAAATATTCGCGGAGTTTGGGACAACACTTGCATATTTTGAGGCGTACGGCCCGCCTGTCGGCATTTTGTGCAACGATGCAGTGGACTGTTGACCTAATAGTCGATTTTATTGCTCTGTGGTTTCGCAGCCGGAATTGAGTGTACGTGTTGTTCAATCGTAAGAGAATAAGGCGTACCGAAAACCGGAACGTCATTAAGAATTGGGGTTATATAGTTACGTTTATTACAAACACTCGAAATTCGGACGCCTTGCCAAATTTAATATCTACCATCCCTACTAATCCTTACTAATATTATAAACGCGAAAGTTTGTATGTATGAATGCGTGTTTGTTACTCTTTCACGCTAATACTACTGAATGGATTTTAATGAAACTTTATAATAATATAGCTTATACATCAGAATAACACATAGGCTATAATTTAAACACATATTTTATGAATATCTGTCTTTCTATCTGAATGTTACGCCTTCAGCCTATTCTACGCAGACGTAGTCCCGGGCAGCAGGTTAATAATGTTATAAATGTGAATGTAAGTTTATTAGTTACGTTTTCACGCCAAAACTACTAAACTAATTTGAAAAAAAAAAAAAAAAAAAAAAACAATTGGATTTCAAATCAAATTGTTTAACCATCCTTTTAGCAACTCAAATGACGTTTAACAAGCCATTTGGCAACTGATTAGTCAATTTCAACGTTGATCAGTCTCTCAGAAACCTGACGTTAGTGTAGAAGAATTATTTTCTTTTACATTCCATAAGCAGATTTCCGCACGATGCTTCCAAAACTGAAGCTGCAGCTGATTATAAAATTAAGTAAGACGAAACGTCAACATTATTGTTAAGACAATTATTGATTTCCTACTAGTTCCTACTTCTGGGAAACGAGAACTAGTTAAAGGAGACCATAGATTTACATAGAGATTGTACCATAGATGTTTTCGTGTGCAGTCAACTTTATTCCGATCCTTAATATCCAATGGAATCGGTTGCGTAGAATGGTTCTGTTTTAACGACGTTATAAATTGTCATCAGAACACTTTTATAATCTATGCCGAAGGTTTATACACGTATATATAACATTTATACAGGCAATATTTAGGCCGGTATAGTTGAGTAAACCATATACCATACCTACATTTTTGTTAATTTTTTTTTGTAAATATTGTATTGTCATCTAAATTAAATGTGTGTACCAAATTTCAGATCAATCTGACAACGGCAAGGTGCTTAAATTTCAATTTCTAATTTTGACCCCAACAAACAAATTCCGTACGGGTCGAGCTAAATAAAACCGTTTAATAAAAAGACATCATGCAACACATTGCAAACGTTCACGAATCGATCGCCGAAATAAGACGATAAAGAGCAAAGTAAGCATAGGCAGAAATTCATCTGAATTACTACACAGGCTACCGATGGGTCCCTGCCTATAGAAGGCCATATTACCTGGGCGGACAGTACGCGCCAAGAAAAAAATTCCGAAACTCTTTGGTCCATGTTTGTACCTACAATTTTTTTTCCGTTTACTTGAGAAGGTGGCAAGTGAGCTGGCGGTTCACCAGATGTTAAGTGATGACCGCCGCCCGTGGACATTCGCAACACCTGTAGGGTCGCAGATGCCTTTTATAGCAGTAGGTTCTCACTCATCAGACGAAACGCCTAAGAATAATACTTCCGCTTTACGCCGGTCTTCTGTGGTGGTGGCGGACCTATAGCATCTACTGCTATAACATCTTCTTAGCTTTATATTAGCCCTTAGCTCTTTTCTACGAATCCAGGACTACAGGGCCGAGACAGTAAGCGATAAAGAAGCATTTTTCTCGGGGACGCCATATTACACTCGGCAAACAGAAATTTTAGCGTTACAGTCATAAGACAATTGCACTCGTTTAGGATTCAAACATTTTCCTCTTGCCTCGAGCCTTGTCATCTTTTGCATAGAACGGAGTCATGGCTTCGTAATAAATCATTTGACGTAGACGTGTTCCGCGAAATAGGGTTGTGCTTCTTCTAATTGCGATAGCTAACTCAACTGAACGAGTTGCGGTTACTATGTTCATCGTGGTTCGTTGTTGAAGTTTCAATTTCTTCTCTAATATAATACTAAAGCCCGTCAACCACTGCTAAACAATAAAATCGCTAGATTAACGATTTTTCCTTTACGTATACATTGTATAGTTATATGTTATTATATCTGTAGCTTTATAACGCTTTCGTATTGAGAAAATATCTTTACGATTTACGGGTTAGATTCCTAGTACAGGCGAAAACTTTTGCGATAGTTCTATCCGAACATTATCGAGTTTCATCTTGAGTGAAGAAACTAGCGGTTATTTAAATTAAATTTTAACGGCAAAGTCGAAATTTCGAAATTTCAAATACGCAGTGTTAAGTGTAGTTTGAGAAAGTATTATTTGTTGTAAAGCAGTGATTCTCAACCTTTTTTTTGTTGCGGCACATATTAAACGATTTCAAAATTTGGCGGCACACAAAGAAAAAGATAAAAATTATTTACTTACTACAACACACTGGATAAATAGTTTATGATAAAAATTTTAAATATACGAGATAAACTAAACGTTTATTAAGGGATTAATTACAAGCTAATAATAAAAATATTTTTAATGCGAAATTTGAGCTTGATGTTTTTTGATAATTTCATTTATATTTGGTCGTAAAAATGACAATGCTACTCTCATATCATCTTCTACATTTAACAATCTTGATTTTTTTTTAGTTTTAATGTTGGCTAAGGCCAAAAAATAGTTTTATTTTTAAACGATATAATTTAATAACATTAACATTATTATATGTTTGCAAAATTTGGCGGCACACTTTTGAAATTTGGCTGCACACAAAAGTGCCGCGGCACAGTGGTTGAGAATCACTGTTGTAAAGGAATCGGAAAAATTGTTACAAACGCAGTGAAAATAAAGTAGATGAGGACGTCGAAACTTTCCCGTGGATAACGACCGTTTAGCTCAATGGCTAGAGCATCTGGACGGGTAAAACGGAAGACGAGGGTTCGAATCCGGCACCGCCGGAAGTTTTTGGTCATTTATCTGTACCAATGAAGTAGTCAATCAATGATAGTAATGATACATTAGGCGGCTATAAAGTAAAAAACAAACGCCAAATAATTTAACGGACGCAAATCGACCATCGAGCGACCTATTCATGTTGAGAATCTTCGTCTAGTCTGGCTGACATCGATATTTACAAAAAGATCGATATCAGGCTCGATATATCGAAGAGAAAATATCGATTATCGATATTTTCTTTCTAAGCCCTGTTGTCCAATAAAAACGTATGACAAGACACTTTCCCGGATTCGAATTTGAAAAAAATATCGTTCTTGATACCATTTCGATATTGAATATTTTACATCGGATCAAAATATAACCACTAAAAATATCGATATATTTAATAAAAAATATCGAACTATCGATATTTTTTCGGCATCCCTATTCTCAATATCCTCCCGCCCTTAATGCACCCGATGGGGTAGGCACGACACGTGAATCATGCTGTTCGTGTTATTGGTTGGGTTTTTCGCGACCGGCTTGACGTCAACCCACCTTGGGGACAAACAACCAGATCCGGAACAATTGTCCCGTTTGGGAATAGTGCTCACGGCCCACCACCGAGTCATCTATCAGGAGACTTGGATTTGAAAAAATCGGCCAAGTGCGAGTCGGTCTCTTGCACGAACGGTTCCGTACCATTATCTATTTTCACTTAAAAATTTTTTTCTGTTTACATATAACATTACAGACAAACAGCGGAGTATTTAGTAATAGGGTCCCGTTTTACCCGTTGTGTACGGAACCCTAAAAAAATTAAACGAAGATTTAAACAACTGCACCACTAAGTCATCCCTCTGGAGACTTCCATTTCAATTAGATATATTATTTAGGGACGAAAAGGTTATCATTTTCTCAAACACGATTCAGCAGGTTTCGGATAGACGGGCAAATGCGCTAACGATCAAGAAACTCTAACTATGGTAGGGCCACGCATCTGGGCAAATGTCAATGGACGGTGGTTATCACTTAACATCAGGTGAACCACCAGATCGTTTGGCAACTTTTCAGTTAAAAAAGGACAGACAAACTTTATATCTTTACAGTATTCATAAATATGTATGGATAAACGTCACGGTTCGTAGACAGGGAAGCTCGGGCGTCTGTGACCTGCATAGGCGCCATTTTAAAAATGGCGCGACCCGAATAACAACGCATCTGGTCAAAGCCGTAAATAACACAACGTTATAAGAATAAGACGGTCAAAGAGCACATTCTACGATGCACAGACCATGTAGTGTCTAAAGAACTCTGCAAAATTTGCGAAAATTACTACGTCACACACTGACACACATAAACAAAAAAAAAATTAAAAAAACGTATGTAGATAACACTTAAATTCTGCGACAGTTTTATCTATTTTTTTTTTAAATTGCACCTGACCGCATAGACTAGCATTAAGTTAAAGTTAAATTAGAAAAGTATATAAAAATTCAGACCGGTAAGAGGTCCTACGTTAAAAACGGGAATCGTCTCAACCCGTTCCTCCTGGTTTACGCGCCATTTAAGAGGTTTCGGACCTCGACGGCGCTAAAGCACGTTGCACCAGTTACTTGTAGCGGGAGCGCGGTTATTTTTAAACTTAACGGTCATCACTATCGCGTGTACTGTCGCGTAAAGATAGGTGTCCGTCCTAACATACATCACTATAGCTTTAACAGTCGCGTAACGATAGTTGGCGACGGCACGGTGGCGAGAATGTTTAGCAGTGTATGTTAGTGCGTGTTCGATCCCGGTTTGGGTCGACGAACATTCGTGTCGCCCAGAGGGTTCTAACTCGAAATTAGAACCAGAAAATTACGCCTTCTCGGCACCGGCTAGTTAGAGCCGAATAAATAGAATCGAGCGTTAGCAAGCCCAGGATCCAGCAGTCACAAAACAGGTCGGTTTAAATTGAATTTAATTGGAAATGACCATTCGTGAACAGTGAACACTGTTCAATGGTCCTACCACAGTTAAGCTTAATGTTCAGAAAGGTCTTCGCTGTAGCACGAATAGGCAGGCCCGTCCGGTTAAGTGCCACGGCCTCGCAGAATACCGGCGTGAAGTGGAAGTATTTCCCAGACGGAATGCAGAAGTATACTTCTGCATTCCGTCTGGGGAGTGAGGTAGCCGGGGCCCACCATATCAAGAGGTGTTGCTTACGTCCTCGGGCGGCGGCTCTCACTTAACATCTGGTGAACCACTTACCACCTTCTCACATAAAAAAAAACTGTTTGATCAATCCCGACTGAAGGTATTATGAATGCTAGCGAATTGTTTCCATCAACTATGAAATCATCATATTGTGTGATACCATTGTCCCGAGAAGTCTCCGCAGATCAACAATCCAGGAAGCAAAACAAATGCGCATGGGGCACGTAAATATACAAACAACTGAATGAATCCAATAGATTGGTTGTATTATTTCTCGTGAGTTTTTTTTTCTCAAGCTGCATAGTGTTTACCTGATTATACATTCATTTATTTATTCTTGACTAGCTGCTGCCCGCGACTACGTCTGCGTAGAATAGGCTGAAGGCGTAACATTCAGACAGAAAAACAGATATACATAAAAATATGTATATAAATTATAGCCTATATCTGATGTATAAGCTATATTATTGTAAAGTCTCATCCATTCAGTAGTATTTGCGTGAAAGAGTAACAAACATCCAGCCATACATACAAACTTTCGCGTTTATAATATTAAGTAAGGAAGTAAGAATGAAACACAGAAGACCTTTCGTCCATTTTTTGCAAATTTTAATGTCTCATCTCAAGGACAGGAAATAGCTCTGTAAATTTTTTTCCAAGTACTTATTTACTCACTACTTTTCGCCCGCGGCTCCGCCCGCCTGTACTACATTTTATATCTTGGTTAAAAACTACCTACCCTACGGGACCCTTTGTGCGTGAGTCAGGCTTGCACTTGGCCGATTTTTTTAACTTTATATAAACTTACAATCATCATCATTTTACAGACCATAACATATCATAGTTAACTATAGTTTCATCCATTTAACTGTAGCTTTTATTTTGTATTTTATCGCACAAATATTCAATGTGGTTCTTTAAGACGATATAACTTTTTTATTTATGAACCGATTTGAATAAAACTAACACTAAATGTTAAGTGAAGCTTACTACAATGGAGAAGTGAAAGTTGCACCCGAATAGGTTAAATCGTTTCTGAGATTGACACAAACGCACAGACAAACAGACAAAAATTTTAACAATCATAGTTTTGGGTTCTACCGCGTTGATAAAGGCCCCCAATAACAGATTTTCTCAAATATCTTCCATGTACAGACAACTATCAGTTACCATTTTGTAATATAAATAGATTATGTTACCATTAAGTTACTTATCGGCGCTATCATACGGAAAATTTCGCACCGACCAACTATTACTTATTTGTTATTAATTATTTACTACGAAAGCTTTCGCGAAAGTGTCGGGTCGATTCTTATCGCGCAGTTCCGTTGGAATGCGTTGACGGTGTATAGGACGTGCGTGGGTAGCGGAGTCGCCGGCGATAGCGGGCTCTCACCACCGCATCCTCACGGCATCAACGACGCGGTGTGGGCAGACGCTAGACGTTCTACGAAACACGATGAAGTTTACGCGAAACTGACGCATCAATCGCTCCGTAAGTAAAGAAACACCCAATAACAGTAAAGTAACAGCCTATAAATGTCCCACTGCTGGGCAAAGGCCTCCTCTGTACAGAGGGTATAAGGGCATAGTCCACCACGCGGCCCCACTGCGGCGGACTACACATATTTTCGAAATATTTTTTGTTTTTGTTTTTATTGTATTGTCATCTAAATTAAATGTGTGTACCAAATTTCAGATCAATCTGACAACGGCAAGGTGCTTAAATTTCAATTTCTAATTTTGACCCAAATAAATAAACAAACAAATTCCGTACGGGTCGAGCTAAATAAAACCGTTTAAATATGCACGGGTTCCTCACGATGTTTTCCTTCACCGCCGAGCACGTGATAAGTACTTAAAATCAACAATTTCATTGGTGCCGGCACCGGGGATCGAACTCGGGTTGCTCGAGTATATTGAATTAAAGGCGAGCGCCCGGACACTGAGCTATCACTTCTGACTTCATTAATCTTCATGTACTTTTATACGGTTGTCGGTGGCGTACCTGAAAAAAAAAAGAAAAAGAATATCCACTCACGCTGCCGACGAAGTCGAACTTGGCTATCACCAGCTCCAGCACCTGGTGAGGCTGCGGGGGTGGGGGGGCGGCCGCCCTCGCCCTCGCCTGGGGCAGAGGCCGCACCAGCGGCGTGGTGTCCAGGTAGTGGAGACGGTAGAAGGAGAGCAGCGCCGGCATGTCCGCGAAGAGCTGGTCCCCGATCCTGAACCTGGTGGTGCCGTCGGCGGAGACCACGTGGTTGATGATGTAGTGCGACACCCTGTCGTCCTCCCTGCGAAGGGACTCTAGTGTTTAAGCAACTTTTTACCCGACTGCCGAAGGAGGGTATGTTTTTCGAGAGTACGGCCGTATGAATGTATGTATACCTACATAATTTAACTATCAGTATAAATGGATTTTATTTTTATTAAGGATTTTGGCACATTTTTACAACAGCTTTATCCAATTCCGAACCGAGCAAAGCTCGTAAATGGGTGCTGAGTAACCGGTAAGCGTACTTAGACAGACATTTCTATCTGTAAATCATATTACGTGTACTCAAACATCCGGACAATAATAAAGCACTGTGTTCATTGCACAGTACATTCCCAGCAGTGGGGATCGTGTCCACATCCTTCAGCACAAGAGACAGGTCCACTGTCTAAGCTAATAGGGTCAATCCTGACTGAACTGTAGTCTCAAGAGTATAATCGTCCATGATCATGTATGTTCAACTGTGGTAGGGCCACGCAGCAATATTCGCTGTTTCCGGAATGGGTAGATCCATCCGGGGAAGTACCACGACCTCACAGAAGACCGGCGTGAAGTGGAAGTGTAACACATCTGCGTTCCATCTGGCGAGTGAGGTAGCCGGGGCCCACTACATTAAAAGGTGGCAACGCATCTGCCACCCTAGGGGTGTCGCGAATGTCGATGGGCGGCGGTTATCACTTAATAAAGATATTATACCATTGCGGAATATCTTGACGACGCCAATGTGTGGAGTTAATACTTATTGATACTCACGTGGGCTAAAATAAGACTATTATACCTGTACCATTATACTGTAAACTGACCTTTTCAAAAAAGAGCAACTGTTGAGTTTCTTGCCGGTTTCTTCTCAACAGAAACTGCTTTCCGAACCGGTGGTAACTTACGAACGTATTGATTTCTATGTAAAATTTTGACGTTTATACTTCCACTTCACGCCGGTCCCCCTGTGAGGTCGTGGTACTTACCCGGACGGGCCTGCACATTCGTGCAACAGCCGAGGCCGCTGCGTGGCCCTACCACGGTTATAAATAGTCATATAAAATGCGAAGACCATTATGCTCACCTGACGCAGAGTACGTAGTCCCCGTGTATGGTCTTCGAGTCGCGCACGAGGAACACGCCGCTCTCGGTCTCATTGAGGAGCAGTTTCGTCGCCTCCGCTCTTGACAGCCCGCCGAAGTACCAGCTGATGAAGAAGACCAGAAATTCAAAATCTTTATGTAGTTTTCCGTACCCAATGAGTAGATGGGAACCCTATTAGTAAGACTCCACTGTCTGTGTGTCTCTCACCAGGCTGTATCTCATGAACCGTCAGACAGTAGTCAGACAGTTGAAATGTTCACAGTTGATGAATTTTCAAAGATGATAAATAAAAAAAAACTAAAAACAGAAAAAAAAATTAAGTCGGGCTCTCATATAATAGACATGGCTTTTTTGCCGTTTTTATAGATAATGGTACGGAAGTCTTCATGCCCGAGCACGAGTCGCACTTAGCCGGTTTTTAATATAGAAAAAATCATTACACTTAAGTATCGATTGTCGAAACGCTACCACTGCACTGGCTCGGAAAAGAAAAGCCGGCCTGAGAAGAACCGGCGAAAGAAACTCAGCGGTTTTTTTACATTACATTACTTGACGAACAAACATGTTTACAATGTATGAAGTCCACTTGAAAGAGCCTGGAGCGATCAATCCATTTCCATGGAGTGTTATCATTAAAAATAATCACTAATAATTAAAATAGCCTACAACACAAACGTTCGATTGTAATTTATTTTATTTTTATTTAGCAATTGATACACTGTGGACGTTTTCTGGGATTTTGTTGTTAAAACGTATACATTGTAGATGCGTTTACCACCGACAACCACTTCTATATACAGGGTGGCTTTTCTAAGTGTATCTATTTTTTAATTAGATTCTAGACATAAATAATGTTATATAAAAATGATAAATATTTAAAATCACTCGTAAGTAATTAATAACATTCATTTAAACTTATCTCAAAAAGTGCGTGATTTATACGCAACTTATTTATTTTATCGCGATCATTCATAAATAACACGCACACAAGTTCGTGCACAGTAAAATTTAGGTATTTATACGTGAGAATGACTACCGCGTTGTCAAACACGTTCTGTTTTTTAGGGAATAGAATGGCATTTTTTTTAAAAAAAAAACGTTGTTTTTTATTTTAATAAAAGATTATCTTGAAAGAATCTGCCGAGTCTGAACCTCCTGTGTAAATTTGGGCACTTCTCAAAAAATCTCCCTGTATAGGAATGTCAATAGACAAGACAATAGTCAAGGCCTAAAATAAGAAACAAAACTAATCGGATCCAGCAGTATGTCACTTTCAGCATCGAATTTAGCGAAAGAAAATTATACATATACAGAAACTCCATCCGAAACCTAATGCTGACGATACTCATCGACCGCCCGCAATCGTAGAGTTCAATATCCGAAAAAAAAAAAAAAACTATCTAGCTGCCAAAATCTTCCAGAGCCCTCGCGAAAAAGCGCAATTTTCCCGCGCAACGGAGGCCTCAAGTCGAGTGTACGCTCTAATGAGCGTTGGAAGGGCGCTCGAGGGGAAAATTAAAAAAAAAAGCGCCGGCAACGCCTCTCTGGCCCCGTTGATAAGTAGACAGTTTAACTCTTCAGGGCCCACTCTGTACTCTACCGGCACTTTTTTTTTTCATCATTGTAAATCGCCAGCAACTTGAATCTGACGGTGGGTGGAGATGCGTAGGCGGTTAACACACTAGTTGATGTAGCGAGTTGTGAAATATGTTAAAGGGATATATTTGCCAAAAATATATATAGCTAAATTCAAACAAACAAACTTAACTGTTAATTATGATGTTACAAATTCTTAATATCGCCCCCGTTCAATAATGTTTTTACCGTCCAAAAAATTTCTAAAGTTCGATCATAGCTTATGTAACGAAGTTTTTAACCATACACGTTTCACATAGTCTGTAAGACTGAAACAGAGCAAAGGACAGTCTGCGGACATTGAAAGTTGGTTTTAGGCCAACCGACCGAACGTAAAACCCACCTCCATTTTTTTTTGCTTTCTTCTGAATCTTGGGAATTTTTTTTAGGAAGAAGACAGGGTTGTGTGGGGTTCTTACCCACCAAAGCCCCATTTGTGGCCACCCTCAGTAATTAAGAAGACCAGGATCTCCTCTGCACTCCTCGTTAATGACCACGCTTCGGGGAAGGAGATCTTCCCCAATACTCTCGCTGCTTAACGGTAGCCCAAGACCACTTAATGTTGCTATAAAGTTCATTAAATTGGACGAACAATTACCATCCCGATGGTCCATGAAACCCATGTACCCTTTAATTCGCCTTTACGGGATACCTTAGTCGTATTCTATGGGCCCGAGACTACACACCTGAGACATTCTACCAACTAGGGATGCTGAAAGTGAAAAAATATATCGATATTTATAAAAATATCAATATCGACCGCGATATATCGAAGAGAATATTAATAATTATAGATATTTTCTTTTTAAGCTCTGGTGTGAAAAAAAGCGTATACCAAGTATTAAACATTTGAATATACGGACTCGAATTTGAAAAAAATATCGATGTTTTTGATACGATTTCAATTCGATTTCGATTCGGCTAATAAATTGATATATCGATATTTTTTCGGCATCCTTACTACCAACCTAGTAAGACAAAATGTCGCGAGGATGCAAGAATCTAATTTTTACCGCCACGGATCCGTTCAGTATAAACAAAAAACAATCTGGCCGTCGTTAGAGCGTGTTTACATTAAAGATTCGCGCCGGCGAACACGAATCCAATGTTTGCCATACATCAAGGTTTCTCGTCAGAAGAGCTGACGCGTGAGAAATAATGAAGCGCTGTGTGGAAGACATTGAACTAAAAGTTTGAGGGGGGAGAGGGAAAGGGACAGAAACCTGTCGGGCATCACCAAGACCTGATAGTCCTGGGGGGTGACCCCATAAGCCAAGTAATCACAAGGTCGCCAGGCTCAACGAACTGTTTCCAAGTCTAGTGCCTGTATATGAATATAACTACACGAAATCTCGAGGCCTTGTCAGGGCGTGAATGGTTCGTGTTTCCTTCCTCCTAAATATTTGAGGAACGACGAGGAATTTATTATAAGGAAAGAAACCAATCTTGCGATCGCTCAATACTTGTATTAACACTGAAATATTGCATTGAGGACATGAATCGCCTACAATGAGACGAAATAATAAATCCTTTAATGACTCAAGAAGAATTCAAAACAACAATCCGCTAAAGACTTCGGGAAACTTCGACCTCTACATTAAATCGAGGCTAACCAAAAGGGCAAACGTTGGTGCGAACATTCGCCAAACATTCGGCCGGGATCGAAACGGGGCCAACGATCGGGACGCGAGACGCGACTCCTTTAAATGGGGGCATTTAGCCCGCTCCGTGTATCGTAAATCCGAGTCGCGCGTCGATTCTCCGCCGGGCGGTGCGCACAATAAATGGATTGGCCTGACATAAAGCGACCGCTGCATCCGGCCCCAGTTGGACAGCGGCGCGGCGATGTGAATGGGACGGTGGTACGGATGTTTCTCGTACGCGCTGTCGCGTCTCCAATCAACGAACAAGACACCGATGACAGTGACAGAGTAGCGGAGAGACATCGACCTGGAAGAACAGTGCTCGGCCTAGAAAAAGAGTCGAGGCTAAGAGCATCTCGCTTCTTCAATCAACGAACAGGACAACTTTGACAGTGACAGAGTAGCGGAGAGACATCGACCTGGAAGAATAGTAGTCGATCTACAGAGTCGTGGATAAAAGAACATCTCGCTTCTTCAATCAACGAACAAGACAACTTTGACAGTGACAGAGCAGCTGAGAGACATCGACCTGGAAGAACAGTGGTCGATCTAGAGAAAGAGTAGGGGAAAACAGAACATCCCACATACAGTAACACACAAAACCAATTAGTTCGTACTCGGCTACGGGCAAGGCGAAACCAACAACGCGTACACGAGGTACACCCGCGTTCTAGCAAGTTGTACCTTAAACATTAAAATTTGTAAAAGATTTTCGCCGCTGTGGGAATCGAACCCACGTCTTCGGCATTCGCGGCCAAACGCTTTAGCCACTAAGCTAAACGGCTGATTGCCACACCGACGAAAATCTTAACATATTTTATCTACATTGTTTTTAGCATTTGAAGCAATGCTTAGCGCATCGATTGTTATATCCTTTCCAGCATACAAACAATTTCGAATACCGTTTTACAACGATAATTCGAACGAGAGATGTCGCCATTGCTTTTTAGGAATTTTTAATTTTTGAAGTGAAACTTCTTTATCGGGGTTTGGAAAAAAATTTAGTGTAACATTTTTGCGTTACGCGCCATCTTGTTCTTATCTTAAAATGTTCCTCTAACGCCATCTAGTGTTGAATAGGGGGTTTTATATCGTCTTTATTCTTTAGTGGTTTTAATAGTTGACGCTAGATGGCGTTAGTTCCCTTGTGTGTTCATAACAATATATATATATATGTTATATTAAAGTGATCAGCAAAATCAAAGGGTTTATTTTAATTCTAATTCTAAAATGTAAACAATATATTTCGTATTTCAGTTACCGTAAGCCATTAATAACACAAATATATAATAACGACATCAAGGATAGTAATAATTCTATTACAATTAATGAAATTCAATAATAATATTTGTAGTAATGACAGTGCTAGCTCTAATACTTCAGAGTACGACACTGTAGAGACTTCCTCTTCTCCAAAGGCAGGCACCGCCCACCGTGACCTGACTGCGCCTTCCACCGAAGACACAATCTGAAGCTGACCGATGATGCTCTTCGAAGCCTCGATCGGCTCCTGAAACTTGCGGTTGCGACGTCGATCCAACATCCGCAAGTTCGGTTTTCCAAAAAAACTTCACTCACAACACTCGCGCGCGAGTCGAATGTCTGCCTTCTACTCACTGGCTGACTATTCGGCAACGAAGGACCATGTACAAATTCAAAGCGGTTGTATTTTGGGGTCCGTGAGGTTAATTGAAATAAACAAGGTTCACGTTGCAAGTTTTTTAATCAACAATTTTTGCGGACCCTCATACTAATTACAACGGTCAAACCATAGTGTGTTTTTATTTACTACTAACGCCACCTATGTATTACAAATAAGAAACTA